TAAAGGCTCGGAAGCGACCAATTTTCCATCGCACGTTGGAAATTTTGTTGGAATCTGATAAATGGTTTCTTTCTATTATTCTTTTGTACTTAATTTTTAACAGCCCTGGTGCCGTTCTCGCCAACACAATGTACGAATAAATGGCTTTTAACTTCTGTCATACCGCTTTATAGTGAAATTGAAATGAAATTGGAAAACAGCCCTCTGAACTGCAAAATATTGGAAAACTGAGTTCAATTGTAATCATGCAATAAACGTCCACGTTAATACGAATCGTAATCTCTTCAGAGTTTATCGATTGAACAGGATGTCGAAATATCTATTATTAAATTCCGTTTCCACACTTAATGACTGCTCATTATAAAGTTTTTCTATGAATGATTGACCAGTTGAGAGAAATCCTGTTTATTCATATAAATTGTTTTTCATTTTTCGAAAGCCGAAGCTCTCGAGTGGTAAGTAGTTTTTTCTTATTTCACAAAAACTGAAAATCTCTTATTTCGGAAGTCTGCGATTGCTACTTTCATCAGTTTTAAGTCATTTCAATGTTAAAATTTAAGGTTTTAAATTTAAACGCATTAAATCAAAAAATGTGGTTTGCTTGAGTTTAGGTCTCAAAAACCAAAGGCACCACAAAGCTGTATCTTTTTGTTGTTTGATACTAATCAGTAAAACTCCTGCCATTATTTTTCGTGTTAGTCAATGTTACTTCTCGTGTAGACAAGATAATAATAGAGCCACCGCATTTTTATTCATGTGTGTTAGTTAAATCAGGTCTTTCATTTTTAACAAAATTCGCCACTTCTTATAATGTCTGCTTCAGACCTGTCGGGCTGGGATTTTGCATTTAGTGTAACTTTCAGAATTTTTTAAATTTTTAGTTGGATTACTTTTTACACTTCTGTTCGCTAAATTTTGTATAATAATGGAAGTTTAAATTTTTGCACCAAAGTACCGAGTTTATGCAGCACAACAGGTTATGTTCATCTGTATGAAGTTCTTTATATTTGTAAATAATAATATTTTGTTTTGGTTTATGGAAAAGTTTCTAAAGCCGTTTTGACACTTTCCTTAGAGTTGCAGTCGCCGTTAATTTAACTTTTGAAGCTTGTTAAAGTCTATATAGCAAATGAATAGCAGCCCTGGATCTAATGTAAGATCTAAATGTAAACCGTACAAACATATTTGATACCCATGAGCACATTATCTTTAATATACTGCCCTTTGTCTTGTGAAAACCAGGCAAATAAAGCTGAATAGTTTCGGCAATAAAGGTGCATTTGAAATTTACAATATAATCCAATTAAAACTTGACAAAATTCTCATTTAAGATTTCCATTTTCCGTCCGCTTAATTTAATGAGTTAACTGAAATACCGTTGTTTTCGGACTAGTTTTAGCAGTAAGTGCCGACGAAAATAATTATGGAAGGTTTCGATCCCATCAGCATGCAGATTTATCCAACGTTAATAGTTCTTGATTGTACCGAAACCCCAGAGCACTATGAAAGTCGAATTTGATTTATTTTGTTTGTTGATATTAGTATATAGATTCACTGGATTAAATAACAACGGACTCAATGCTTCAGTTACAAGTACATTTTTACTTAATGTTTATTCTCAGATTATGTGTACATAATTTCGCAATCTTAGTTTTTGGGAAACTTCAACAGCATGAAGATTTCATTCATTTTCAGTGATTATTCATTCGGGCTTCCGTGTTTTGCATTTTCTCAATCAATCATCTATTTCAAGTTGCTCAAAATAGTATAGTTTGAATCTTGACTAAATACATACTTATATTAGTTGTACAGCAAAGAGTTAAAACGATCTAGATGAAATTGTTTTCAATTTTTGTTGTCCTTGTTTTTGTAATCCTTTAGCGATAGCTCCAAAATGCTTCGTTACGGGTTTACAGGGTGTTGAAATGAAACTAAAAAATGCAAAAGGACAAATTTGTTCAAAACGAGATATTTTAACGAATTTTTCCCTAGGGAGGGATCAATACCTAGGTAAGACACACGTTCTGCAATAAAATTTTTAATTTTTATTTTTGCTAGTGGTGTGCGATCTGCATACCATTGCATTTGGTAAAGAAAAAAATGTTTTCACTGCATTTTTTAATGATTAGACTTATTTGTCAAATTCCTTGTTGTATTCCAAATAAAAAATATATCTTGCATTTTTTGCTGCGACGCGCTGTTAGGATTTTAAAGTAAAATTTCTGGAAGGTGGACCAAGACATATTTTTTATTCGGAATTCACGAAGGGATTTCAAAAATAATTCTAATCCTTAAATGATACATTGGCGTACCATTTTTTCTTTAACGATTTCGGCAGTGTGGCACTAGCAAAAATCAGCAAAAATGATTTTATTGCAAAACATGAGTCTGAGCTGTTGTTTATATAGCAAAATAGCGTAATTTTCGGACCTAGAATAATTGGTTAAAATATTACCCCTTTCTCAACCAACACCCTGTATGTTTCGATGAGATGTAACTTCATAGATGCGTCTTTTACCCAACTGTTGCATCTACAAGGTGGTTAAAGTTGTTAATATCTTGTTTCCTTGTACGAAATTTGTTGGAAGTGGTAGAAAGGTGAGGTGTAGAGGCTTAAAAAAATACATAATTTTGACTATGAAAGTACTTGACAGTACAAACGATTGTAATTAAAAGCTTCCAAAATTGAAATATCGGATAAAAATTGACTAATTACATTTTTTAAATTTTAAGTTGACGCTGTTCCTAAAAATGTAAAAATGAAAAATAGAAACGAGTACCAGCTTTTTAAAAAAATATGCAGTTATGCAAATATGTAGGATAGATCACTGTTTGTGCCCAGACTGTAACTCAATATTTTACAAGACACATACGTTAACGGGTAAAAAAATAAGCTGAACTGGATCCAAAACACCAAGGATCTAATAAGAAAAGGGTTAGATAACCTGGCAAAAATAGGGGGTAGCGTCATTATTCCAAGAGAAATGCTCATTAGTAAAGGAGACATCTTGACCACAATTAAGAGAAATCTGTTGACGCATTTAAATAACGAAACCACGTACAGTTTAATAAACAAATTATTAATATTACACAAACACAATGGCGAAATATCCTGAAGCCAGATGTTTCTCTAATTAATCTACGAAATAGCAACACGTAACTACCATCATCAAACTCAGAGCACGATATTGTGAATGAGGTCCACATTTATATCGCATTGATGAAGGAGAAACACTTACTGCAAGTGCGAAATCATGCAAAGCTTGAATTACATATTTCTGTTATTCTAATTAGACAGAGCTTACTAGGGACTTCAACCGATAAGCGCATTATTAACCTACGGCATTAGCAGATAATCCTCTGCTGTGATGTTTTGCACTAGCTTTCCAACTTATACTAGAGTAACCAAAGTTGTAATCCGAAATAACCAGAATAGAGAAATAAGTAAAGCAGAAGTCAAACCAAAACTCTAAACAGAGTTACAGAGTTCGGCGCCTCTGAAAGTAAAGTAGGTGATGAAATTGCTTAGAGCCGGGAGAAGCCGTCATATACAACGGATGCGTTACATTTTATTGAAAAAAACGGAGCCACAAATTGATTATTGTTCAGGTGCATATTAGTGTTTACTAAGTTTCGGTAAACGTTGAACCTTCTCTGCTCTGATACGTCCACAATACGAAGGTTTTTATTGTGGAATTTAATTATTATTGTCGTATAATTTTTTAAATTTGGATTCAATGGAAACAGGGTTCTGAAAAAAAATTGACCAACATTATATTCTGTTCTCGCCAACTATTTGCTATAGACAAGTAACACACATTTGCAGTTATTGTTCCCTATAACATAGAAAAACATAAATAAAGATAGTGAGTCAGGTATAACATAAAAATGTGATGCAGAATTCCTGAAAAATTATATTTTATTAAACATAAATATGTCAGACAAGTACGTGTATTCAGTTAAAATAGCATTCGAGAATTTAATTCGCAATTTAAAAGGCAAAACTTTTCAATCGTAAAGGACTGACTGACGTAACGTTTAGCTTTTTGAAAGTTTCAAACTGGTGGAAAAATTTAATTTGCTCACTTTAAAAATCTGAAAACAAATTTCCAACTTTTACGAAACAGATTTATGTGAAACAAAGTAACTGGAATTTCGTTTCGTTCGAAAAGATTCATAACTTTTAATTTAAAATATGTTCTTTTTTATCTCTGCGGAAAGAATGGAGTTAAGAAATGTGTGTAGGAGGGTTTCATTTCTTGGTATCGTATTTTAAATTTTGGTTTATTTATTTATTATCTTTTAAGACTTGGTTATTTGGGACAAATTTGACTTGTCGAAAGAGAAAAAAAATAAAATTATTTAGTTATTTACCTTTTTATTATATTTGTTATTATCATGTTTCATTATATTGGAGGACAGTTATAGCGCAGAGTTTTAAAGTTATTCACATTACTTGTTCTTCATCATGCGCCCTGTCCTCCTAGAACTTTGGTCATCAACACTCCTACTTGAATTTTATTCACCGCCATCCTGAAGAGTGTGCTTAAGTTTACGCCACACCAATCGCATAAATTCTTCAGCCATGATGTTTTACGTCTACCTGGACCACGCTTGCCAGCAATTTTACCCATCATTATAAGACCGAAGTATTGTAATTTTGTCCGTTTGATGGTGCATAGGATTTCAGTGTTTTTATTTAGATGCTTAAGTATATCTAAGATCGGACTTTATCTATCCACGATACTTTCAGGATTCTCCTATAACACCACCCCTCAAACCCCTTAATTATTTGCTATTTATAGTCCAGGCCTCCCGCCTGGACTATATTTGATATTCACATTACTGGGAGTATTAAAACAATAAAAAACGTTTACGAACAAATACTATAAATGATTATCACATTTTTAAATGCAATCATTATCTAATCACCAGAAGCCTAAATTTTAAAATTGCATATCAATTATAATTGTAATCAGTGTTATATCGTTTTGTTTCAGGTGTTTGTCCAGTATTATGTTCCGGTCACGGTCAGTATGGTGGAGGAATCTGTCATTGCGAAGAAAGTTGGAAGGGCCCAGAATGCGACATTCCCGAAGGAGACTGTCGCATTGCCGACTGCTCTGGACACGGGAAATGCGTCCGTGGATTTTGCCAGTGCAAGCCAGGATGGAAAGGTAATTATTTTATTCCCGATAGATTTTATGTCTGCTCGAGATTTACCTTGTTGCAGTCTCGGGATTGCTTTTTGCGCATCGTAACAGTTCCAGTTAGTGCAATAAATTTCCGCTTGCCGGAATTTTTGTTAGGACTTATGCTGGTGAATCATATTTTAGTACTTGATAAACATAGAAGCATTTGAACAGCAAAAATATATTTATAATAAAAGATTTTGGAAAAACCGGAACCGTGAAAAATGAAAAATATATATTAATGCTGAATAAAATACAGTCAATTTTGTCCTTCAAGAAATGCCTTCTTAAAGCAAATGGCACGGAAGCTATGATTTAAATATAACTTTTACTTATGACTTTTCACAATTGGGCTTGATTTTACGCTACTGGCCATTTTGCAGATTTAGTTTTGTAAATCTTTTGAGGTGTTTTATATTCTAAAATATTCAGGATATTTTTATTCAACTTTACATACGTATAAATTTTCGTTAATACTTTAAACATTAATTTGAATGAATATTTAATAACAACACAGAACTCTTGCATGAGTACACAACAATACTATACAGTGTTAAATAAAAAATAATTTTAAGCGTGGGTTAAAATGTATTTTAATAGCTCACGAATTTCTGTTTAAAATTATTAGTCTAGAAAGCCGATTTGCATGATTTGCAAATTTATATTCCTTATACAGGTTCCAAGCACTATGATTTTTATAAATTACTCCTGCCACAAGCCAAAATAATCTGTAATTAATCAATTTTAACGGAGTTGCTAAATATATACCTAGTGCTTTTTAACTTCAACCTTTTGCTAATTATTGCAAATTTTAGTTCAGTTGAATATTGTTATGCTCTTAGGTTTACAATCAGGATAATTTTTTAGATACGGTTTAGGTTTGTACGGATGATACAATTTTGACTTAGAAATTCCGATTAATGTGAACATGGAGTTTGAAAATGCATACAAAAAAGACAACAATTGAAAGATATAAATATGTATGTAATAAGTAGGAAGAAATTAAAAATGAAAAATATGAAAGTGGTGTCACGCTTAGCTAATAATTAAGAAACCCACCAAACTACTCCAAAATGTGAATATAACTAGACAATAAAAAATTGTATCGACTTTTTATAAATAACTTACTGTCTATATTCGTATTGAACGCATCAACCAATTTCAGAAAAAGTGGGCGCTTTATGTACGAGATTAAAATCAAAGTGTTTTAAGCTATGAATTTAATTCCATCTTGCCTTTACGTACTTTTTTGAGAGTGTGTTCTCATTCAACCTTTATTGATTGAAGAATTGATTCTTCAGAAATAAAATCTTAAAAAATTATAAGCAAATTTGCTGATGTTTTTTATACTACTTGACTTAGCTTGAACACGTTATTTGTACGCCATTCATTTTTAAGTAAACGTTTTTTTTTAATAAAAAAAAAGTTGATCATTTAAAATCTCGTGAATCCTTTACATATATTATTTATGTACATAAATAAATTCAAACATTAAACCGAACTCCTTGATGCATTTTATGTATAAAATTGGATGTATCCCGTATTTGCTATGTTTCAAACAATTACAAATTTAAATAATAGAATAGCAGATATTTTTGGTCCAGTGAGCTTGTTTGTGACAATGTTTCACATGGTAAACGAAATTACAAAAACAACTACCAATGGATACAGTTACACATTTTTAGGCTAATTATTATTGTAAATAAATGGTCACCTGCAATAAATCAAAAATAACAGAAAAGAACAAATGAAGAACAATTGAACAATTCAATTTCTATGAATTGAACTCATGGAAGTGTCGCTTATTTCTGATGTAAATGAATTGCCAGCATCTCCACTGAAAGCTGTTTTATTTACCATTACACGGTAACTGCCAAATAAAAACCTCATGTTTTTTTTAATCAGATTAGTGGTCGAGGTACACTGTAAATGCAAAAAGAACAGTTCACTTCACGGACTATTGCCTATTTTACTTAACTGATTAAAATTCTAGGAGTTCGTTACGCTTATAAAACTTTCCCAAATGACTTCTCTTCCCTACTTTATTTATTTGATTAAATAGCGAATCGGATTAAGTCCGATGCAAATTCGTACCTTTATAAGAACTTAGTGATCGACCTATAGATAAAAAGCTGTTTCATTCGAACGAGGAAATTCTATTTTATTATACGCTGTAGTTCACGAAGTCATCTTTAACGAAGTATATGCTTCCATCCGCTTGAAACGGGTTGTTCCTGGCAATGTGTTATCTTGAATTGGAAAAATTGTTAGTCAGCACTGGAAAAAACAAGAGTTCCTCTCGTTAGGCGACTTCTTCTCATTCGGTGAAACTGATCAAATCAATTCGAAATTTATGGTGCTATTTGTTTAGTCATATTATAAATATGTTCACTAATATGCAGAAAATACATATAACAAGATAAAAATAGAATAAACTTGGAAAATGCGCATCTGTATATATGCAACAATCACTTCAGCATTACTACTTAAGGCAGAAATTTATAGTAGCACGTGTGTTCTATTCTTTAATATTTGCATCCCTATTGAGTGCCGCCTACAAAACAGTGAATGATTTCAGTAAAATAGTCAAGTGTTTTTTTCCGAATTCGAATGTTTGAAGAACAACTTTACTTCTTTCCAGCTTCACAGTACGAAATACAAAGAAAATTGATTTATCTTGATGTTTCCGAACATAGTCACTTTTTGGAGTCTGAAAAAAAGTAATATGATGTGATCATGAGAAAATCATACTCGGCGTCGAAAATGAGTGTGACAAGATAAATGTATATCCAAGCAAATTAAATTTTAACAATCTATTAAACTATTAAAGTTCTGTTTTTTAATCTTCTGAAAAGCAACAAAACAAACCTTTAAAGGTGGAGCTATTTATACAGGGTGTTCTAAAACTTCTAAATTAAAATGGATCGAGAATATTCAAATGTTGCATTCAAATGCGGTACAAAAACTGAGTCAAAATTGAACAGTAATCCAAAAATTACTATAAATTCTGAAATTTCGCACATTTTAAAACCAGACGAATGAAATTCAGGGACACCGGGTTGAGAGTGATGAAAACTTTCATGTCGATTCGCTCCTAAACGAAGAGGTTTTTCGAGTCGTTTTTCGGTCGTCAAGAGCACATTTTTTTGTCTTTATTTTCTAATATTAAAAATCGTAAATTGGTTTTTACGATATTTGGCGTGCCAAAAAAGATTTGCTGAAACTGAAATTTGGATTTCTGGTAAAGTGCCATATAATGGTAAAGTGGAGAAACATTTTTATGAAAAATTTAAAGATTACCTAGATAAACTTAGCACCAAAGTTAAATTTGATACCCGATGAAATGTACAGAATAGGTCAAAAATGTTAAAAAAATTATTTGATGAGCTGTAACTCGTAAAATAGTAATATTTCGAATTTTTCTTACATGACTTAGTTTAGCATGTAGAATATGTCTTCAAAATTTCCTAACGCATTTTCCGAACACCTGGTATTAGTCTTTTATATTACGACATTGGGAGAAGGATTCATGCTAGGAGGAGACTTTAATGAGAAACACGTAGATTGGGGCGTAAGATTAACAAATACAAAAGGAAAATCCCTGGGAGAAGCTATTAGAAATATGAGTGATAACTTACACTACGCGGGAAAACCAACTTATTGGCCGACGGGTATAACGAAAATCTCAGATTTAGTGGAATTTTTTATCTTCAAAAAGGTATCATCAAATTATGTATAAATTAATCACCTTCTTTGATGTTCAATCAGACCATTCAGCATTAGTTGATTGGCTGCTTGGAAGAGCTTCCACGCTGACTTACAACAGGAAATCACGTTGAACGTAAGCTTGAAAACAGCCGAACAACGACACAGAAACCGAAAAGTTTGTGACTTTACTACAAACATTTGCTCACAAAAACAGCAAAGAAGTTCCTCACTTCGCGAAATGTGTAAACTATACGGATGAAATTCGGATTTTATTCAAAGCCGATGGCAACATACACGTTAACCTAGTGATAAGGAGTGATTAAATAGACAAACTTAAAAGCTAAAACGTGAAATTTTCAGATTTCAACAGTATTATCTCAATTCTTTTATTGCAAATTTATCAGCAGAAAACGAAACTTCGAAAACGAATATTCACTGTGGAAGGTTATAAAGAAAGTTGGAGAACCACTTGTGTCGATACCGCCTAGTAGAAAGGCACTACGCGGTAGGGCTCGCGATGACCAACAAAAAGCGGATGTATTTGCTGAATTTTTGGCGGGCATATTTGTACCAAACGACCTACAGAATAACTTTAACCCACCGGTTGCAGACAATATTTTGTCCTCCATTTCGACAGACATAATTGCTCCTGTTACAACGAAAGTTTCTATACTTACAACAATTATTTTGTATCAAACATGGACTTTCCGTTGTTTCGGCTCAAATATCATATTAGTCATATGTTTTTTTAATGCAGAAGTTGTCAGGATATCAGAAATATAGCAATAGGGTACACTTTATGATAATGGATTTGATACAAGTGGATAATAAACATTAGTAGATATATAGCTTAATTAATTAATAGATTTAATGGGCCACTGTTCATTGATTTACCCACATCCTAATATGTACGATATTTTAGCCACGTTGCTTTTAGAGCTTTTTTCCAGCGTCAAGTATAGCGAATTAACACTATGCGTTATGGCCAAGTTGGGTCACACACAACGAGAAATAAGTGTCCGTGCGCTTTTGTTTTCTTTGCGGAACTAATTTTTCGATCGCATATTTTGGTTATTGTGGCTTGCACAAAAAGCTATTACAACAAAGCGATGAATGCTGGAAAATAATGCGTTTGTTTCAACGTTACAGATCCTGATTTAAAACCATTTATTTCATGTACGAAGTAAAAAAGATATAATGTCTTTTATCCATGCAGCACACATGAAAAAATCAAATCAATGCCAGGTTGCAATCATTACTTATCCTTGAAATTTCAAGGATCTTATCAAGTGTAATGCTTAGTTATAGCTCAAGTTACTGTTACGCAAACTGTGTAAACTCAACGCACTAAAGTAATTCAATTCAATATTAAAAATTCACGTCTATCAACCAGATTAAAGACAACTCGAGAATAGACAAGCAAAAGCCGGAATCAAGACTCTTTTTTTCATTATCGGCTATTCAAGGGCTAGTCCAAGGATCACCGCTCTTATCCTTTCTGTATAAGGTTTGTTGTCATGACATATGCAGCAACCACTTCCATCACTTGTGTGACAAACTTTTGAGTTCAAACAGATGTGTCAGCATACATTTTACAGTATATTGTACATGACAAAAATACAGAGAAAGCAGTGAACATATTTCAGATGCTAAAGTGCAATATAGTAACATTCTTCTATAAATGGAGTTTCACCAAATCGAACAAAACAACAACGTCTCTTATTAAAACCCCCAAACTGGACTAGATTTTTCAGCGATAACAGCTAACAGTCATATAACGATGACCAAACCATACTTCTAGAAATTGTCATGATCGGAAACATCAAACTAAACACGTACAAAATATTAAAACAGAAATAACTGCAGAAACAAATTACATTTGATCGTAAAAATATAAATACGAATTAATCAAAACCAAGCTACCGCCAAAATATCCAGAGCAATATGTGGACCTCTGTTGGACTACGGAGACATCCTGAGAGGAAATGGCAATAAAATTAAGCAACAATGATCGAACAAGTATCATCAGAAACACTGCTTCAAATGCAAACCCAAGAAAATAACAACTAGAAAAAATTGATTATTCTGAATTCCGTTTGACTTACAAGGCAAACCAGTTAATCCCGTTTCCCTGTCCCCAATATCAACTTTAATATACAGCGTGTCCAAAATAAGGATGCATTGCATGGGGATCTCGGAAACCGTGAGAGATACGATTTCGGTTAAATTAGCGAAAATTTGCGCAATCAAAGGGATTAATCATATACATGGCGTTTTCAAAAATCAAGAATTTCTTTTTTTTTGAGATATTTAGATTATATTAACGAAAATCCAAAATACCGCTTTTTTCTAAACATCTCAAAAATTCTTCTGATTACGCACCTTTTTCCTAATTTGGCGTCTCTCACGCTTCCGAAAATTCACATGCAATGCATCCTTATCTTGGACACCCTACATATTAATACTGGCAAGCGAAATTGAACTAACCAGTTAAAATAATACTTATTCCGGGAAGCCTAGATTGATATATTTTTTGCACGTGCAGAAAAATCGCTTGGATCGATAGCCTATTTGCACCCCTTTGCAAGGAACTAAGATTCTTAATATTTTTTTTTCGACACTGACGACATTCGCACAAAAATAGTACCATTGTGGATAATATCTTCTTCCTTCCGCACCATGTGCTGGCCTTTTCGAAAATTTTGAAGCTGCATAACTAATGTTATTTATATTTTTCATATAAAAGAGTGTGCAATTTTTATTTATCTCGTTTAACCATTTAAACTTCGATTTTCAGGATTAGATCTTAATGTGCTTAATGATCTAAAACACATAATTCCAGATGCCTCGCTACTGAATTATATGCAATTTCTTCAAAAATTATATACTTTAAAAAACTTGTTTGTATTTCTAATGAAGCAGAGAGATATTTCGATAAACTATAGCAGCAGAGAAGTGACGGATATGAACTAAATGTTCAACAAACTAAAACTAAAACAATGCAATACTTATTTCGAGTTGCCCATAATAAAAAAAATAAAAAGTTTTTCCTTTTCCATGTTTCATAAAGCTTTTCCATCTCCGATCGTCTTAACGATGTAGTCGTCACGATTGGTTTTTCAGGGTTACCAAAACAGATTAAAACTATGCTGATAACATTAAGGGTATGTCGCAATCACAAAGAAATATTACCTGCTGCAGTGTCTCTTCAGTTCTTTATTAAGGAAGTTGTTCTGATTATAGGCTACATACTACATATGTATGCAAAAATAAGTTTGTTTTAATAAGAACTCCTATTTGCCAATATAATTCTAGCCATGAACGAGGAAGCTAACGTGGTTGCAGGCTAAAGCCAGTATTTGAAGTTAAGGGACATTTCCAATTAATTGAGTCTTAATAATTCCATCCGACAAATAATTAATATAATACGTTATTAAATCAAAAGTTCGTTCTACTTTGTCTAAATAAGCGAGGAAACTACATGGTTTACTATTGGTTAATGTTCGCCAACATAGAGACCCTATAAAAAGTAATTTAACAACTCTATATACACAATGATGAATGATTAGATTTAGATTAATTGCTTTTAGATATAAAAAATTACAAAACAAATCGGAAGACATCGAAACACGGAAATTGTATAACGCTTTACCGTACAATACAAATAATAAATATGAATTTTCAACAAAGGAAATAATTTAATTAAAGTTGACATGGTCCGAATAATTACAATACAATTCAGAACAATAAAACTGAGATTTGTGATTATAAAATAATCGCCGTTTTAATGCGCAATCGTAATTGTTAACATTTTTCCCGGCTTTAAATAGGCGAAAAATTTAACAATTTAAATTTGTCTGTCTAACGCATTTATCCTTAATTAATTTTTTTCCGATCTTTGAGAAACACATAGGCAATCAATAGTTTGGTATGATCAAAGACATTGTCTATAATCAGGTACCTACTTTTACATTTTCATTAAATTGTCTGTGTATGAATCAGGAATTTTGTCATTTTAGATGAAGTGGTGATTTTAGGAATATAAAAGTCGAATGATCTAAGCTTATTCTAATGTTCAATTTCATAATTATATGTTAACTGGTAAGTTCAGTCATGAATTCGCATTTCATGCGAAAAGTATTTGTAAGTTAGCATAGGAATTGTTTTGTCCTTTTGCCCTTTCTTAGATTTTGTATAAAATGTATTTTGTAAATTTAATTATTTGGCAAAGTATTGTTGCCAAGTATTTTATTTTTGGTATTAGAGTAGTTCTGTCTTCGTCAGTTATTAATATGGTAGAGGTTTCTAAGAGAACCTTCTTTCGTGGCGTTTGCTGTTGGTCTAAATTCTTGAAACAAAGTCAGTTTTTCGATTGTGAATGCTTGATGTTTTTCTACACGTTTTACTGTCGTTATATCATGCACAATTATTTCTTATTTTATCGATCTCTCAATAAATGAATTGTTGCAGTCTATACTTATATGCTTAATAACAAAACTATTTGCCAATCAGTACTGCGAATGCTTTTATATTATTTTATGAAGCACCATAATTATTATTATGTCCTAATTTATTGTTTTAGGTAATTTGAAAAATACGTTGTGGTCATAATTAGGATTTGGTTGCTCATTTTGGTTCATCATAATCTAATCATCTCTAATTTGTCAATGAGACCACGTTTAAATCACTTTATCAATATGTTTATGTTAATATATTGTTTATTTTATTATTATCAATGTTTATATTAAAACGCGGGTAACATTCTAAAATAAATGTTGATTTTACTTTAAGGTCTAAAGTAAATTCGAAGGACTTTCCAGAACGTTTCTAAAACTTTTGATACTTTTCCCATCCGCTTCGTTATTTAAAAATGATAATTGGCCTTACTCTGCCCAAAACTTGTTTCTGTTCCTCGCGAGGGATGCAAATTGCTTTCTTAGAGAAAATAATAACCGTCTAACGCAAAATAATTACTTCAGTACGGAGCGCGAACACAAACAATCTTTGAAACCACTACCGGATACTCTGAGGTGTTTTCTTTGAAACTTTCTGAAGTGGTTTGCCATTACTGCAGTGTTTTCCCATTTCATGGATGGCTTCATTGGCTGCGAACATTTTTTATTTAGCAAGGTATCGTCTTTGTAACAGTATTTTCTTAGAACAAAAAAAATATCAACATAAAATGATTTGTGCACAAAATTCGTTTGTTTTTCGTTGAATTAAAAACTTTTAGGAATAATCAATTGTAAAGGGTAGTTTTTGTGCATATTTAATTTAAGCCTAACCTGAAAAGTTTTAATTTCAAATAGTTTTTGAAGCATTGATAAATTAAGTTCTCCTCTTTAAAATGCTTACGGTTACGTTAGCTTTTTCGTTTTCAATTTAACTACCCCGAAAATCAGAACTTTTAGTATTAAGAGCAGTATAAGGCACTTAATACTAATCGTGTTTGGTCCATGTTCTTATGTGTCATTCACTTTCTCAATGAAACGTATTTAACATTTTATGTGGCAATAAAGCACATGTGATTTAAGCACCCCGTTAAGTTGAAGTAAAGTGGAATTGAAAATATGGGAATAGAGAGATTCGCACGCAAAAATATAATCTTTGGAAGACTTGATTTTGGTGAAATGCAATATTATTGTGCAACTTTGTGCAAAGCCCCAATAGATAGTTTAGGTGATGACACCGTTATCTTCAATTCGTTTGAGTGAAAAATGTCATACAATGTATCTAAAGTACATGAATACGTTCTGGTGGCTAATTAAAGTGTTAAATTTCTCACTTAACAACCTAGTACTCGAAATGGTTCGTTACGTAGTGGAAAATACGGGATCAAGTTCGCAAAGAGTCAACTTTTGGAACTTCAGAGTGTTTTATTTCCGATGATGCTCCAGACACTCATATTACATTAAGCAGTTTCTTAATTAAAAGGACAGCTGACTTTTCATTGGAGATCTTTCAATTAGCTTGTAATAAAGTGTACCTAGTAAAATGTTTCAAAATTATATATTTCATATTAATTAGCTTTTGTGACAACGAAATTAAACTACTTAATCTTGGCCGAGACGACCAATACACCGTTGCAGAAAGACAGTCAGTTATACTAAAAATGCATGGACAATTTACTCCCATAGTAATATTTAAAATCATTTAGTCGGTGAATGTACTCATTGAAATTGTTCTTGTGTAAGCATTATTTTTGTTTATTACTTTAAAATATATACCCCATATTAACAATATTGATATAACTTTTGTAGATTTAAGTGTTTTTTCGATACTGCTTAAACGCTCATTTGCGGAACATAAACTAAAGTCTGTTATAATATAAGAGACACCTAAAATGTTGAAACTTGCCTAAGCAAAGTTAAACTATTTTGAGAGTAAGAATATTTAAATACGCCTAACATCATTAATAATACAAATTTCTGTTTCCAACTTATTAGCTTATATTAACTATGACCATATTTTCGTTGTAGGTGAAGTTTGTGAAGAAGCAGATTGCAAAGATCCCAACTGTTCAGAACATGGAGCTTGCGTGAGTGGTCAGTGCTATTGCAAAGCAGGTTGGAAAGGCAGTATTTGCAACGTAATCGATGAACAAGTGCATAAGTGTCTTCCATCATGCTCAGAGCACGGTGTTTACGACTTGGAAACTGCTAAGTGTGTGTGCAATCGTCACTGGACTGGACCTGATTGTTCCCAACGTAAGTTCATCAAATATTAAGTTGATTAAACTAACGAGGACCTCGGCAAAACACATTATGAAACATTTGACGAGTCAGTTTTGAGCATTCATAAATAACATAAAGAAGTTAACAGAAACTTTTCAAATCAATAAATAGAATTATACAGCATTTATTGGAAATATTCAATATCATTTTATTTACATAATTTTTGAAAAAGAAAAAAATGGAAAATTGCTTTTCTGTGGCATCGCAAGTCTATGTCATCGCAAAGAAGATGCCCATTCTTATTTAATCCGTAAGCGTTTTGAATCAAAGGCAAATTATTTTGTTAAGTTCTGATTTGGTACATAACTTTAGAAATACCATTATCTGACTGTAACCCCGAGTTATGTCTGACTACGAAATTTAAAACAGATTTGGCGATTCCAAAATTGAGTAGACATTGCTCGTGCACCTACTCAGAATCGCGCTTTGCTGTATGTGGAGCATTTTTTGGGTTTGTACTGTTTGTTAAACTTGTTTGGTCCGTAAGCCAGTTACCGGTTACGAACTACTATTCACAGCAGCAGCTTGTGCAGTTATAATTGTAACACAAATATATTTAGAAGTAAATTTTTCTTTTTACTTGTGCATCTACAGGATTGATTACAGTACCAAATTCCATGTCAGCATCTAGAAAACAGGGCAAACTGAAAGTCGTTAAGTTTTCGATATTCTAAGTATATAACCAGAAAATTGCAATTAAGTCAATGGGCACTTAAATATCTAATTAGTAACTGATCTAAATGTTGGTGGCAATATCGGATTCCTGAACGAGCCGAACAAACATAGTTACTGCAACTAACATAATGCATTAATCGAGTCAATTTCATAATACGCCACGGGTGTGTGCTCTTAATGGTTCCAAATTCTCATAACTCCAATTAGCATGGGATAAGTAGCTATTAAACCAATAGATAGAACCTCTGCGTGCGTTATTTTATTAACGATGGGGGTAATAATCGGAATAGAAGAACGGATTCATTCTATTCATTGGGAAAAGATCACATCCGCTTCCCGGGTAAGAAGCTCGCGAACCTATTCTTACTGCGTGCGTTCTCCTCTACTATAGGCCGAATTAGGTTGATAGAGTAATCATCTATTTTTAACGTCCTCCCACTTAATATTGTGACATCATATTTAACGTTTAATCATTTTTGAGGTCCGCAGTTTTTTTAAATGTCGTCTTAAAATTTTCTAAAATTTTTTCAGCTTTGAAATATGTTCCACATGATGAATATGCAAAGCAAGTTTCATTATTGTTCATGTCGTTCAAAAAGATTCGCAATTCGCTAAAACATTCAGCAAATGGTGTCTAAGCCAATATGTAAATTGTGTTTGAGGCCTTCGCAATTTTCCAACGCATTTCAAATGGCAGTTGAATATATTACATTTAAATAAATGTGGTGAATAAAAACGATTGAAAACATTTTTTTGAAAAACAAAGCAGAATACAACAATAACATATTTCGTGTATGGAAATATTCATGAACTTTGTTTTTACTAACCAAAGAACAATTAAATCACCAAGAGAACAAAGTGCAATACACGAAAACTGATAAAATGGTTTTATTGTTCTAAAACTTTGTTTTATTCTCTCGCACTTTCATGCAATTACCGTCTGCATCATAACTCCAATTCATTTGAATGATTCCAAGGCAATGAGTATATTGTTCATATGTTTTCAGCGTTGTGCAATTTGGACTGTGGTGATCACGGTCACTGTGAACTTGGAAAATGCAAATGTGACGTCGGATGGACTGGATCAAGGTGTGAACAACTTCCCTGCGACATTAGATGCCAAGAACACGGCCAATGCAAGAATGGCACGTGTGTCTGCTCTCAAGGCTGGAATGGACGACACTGTACATTGCGTAAGTAGCAAAGTCACATTCATCAGTCGTCTCGCGTAAACAATTTCTCTAATAAGCATTCAATAAAATGATGGGCTCGTTTCCGATAAAATTACCACCTGGTAATAAGTATCTTCTGGGAGAGCATTAAGAGATTAATAATAAACTGTATTTAGCACTACAGAAGGCCTAGATCGGATTAATACAAAATATTATTAGTGAAACTAGTTAAGTGGTGCATCAAAGTATGACATTTGAGCAAAATTGGCTGAGCAAAGTCATCAAGCATTAGTACCTATTACATGGTTCCTGTTGTAAAATCTATTCAGGACAAACCGGAACAAGTGGAAAACGTTCAGAATTGCATTAGAAAAATTGTGTATAGGTCATTCTCCTCCTAATATTGGTAGTACCAGCTAATTCTAATCCCAATTCTTCTAATGTCAAATATTTTCCGCTCTTTTTCGGTTGTGAAGATAGAGTTTTATTATTTTGAAAAAGGATATATTCATATTTTAATACATTTTATGAAAATATCAGCAATTGCTGATATTTCTTAGGGTGCGGTAATAATAGGCGCCATAAGATAGATATTCATTTGTTTCGACGGGCAATATCTGCTGATACAGATACTGCAAATCACCAATTAGGTACTGAAATGAAGCACAAGCAAAAAATGTTAACCAAAAATTAAAACATGCGTCATTCATATCTCCATATAACTATGATAATATCTTCAAACTATAGTCGTTTAAATTGTATTGGTGCGGGTGTTCTAAATCATAAAATATTTGTTGAAATATAAAAATGAATTGGTCCTGATAGGTTATGTTTTATAAGAGAAATAGAAATTAGAATATTGCCGGTTTTTTAACCATTGTTGGTCTTCTTTCATATAGCAGAATCCCGTTCTAAGCCTAGCTCTAGATTTATTAGATATAAAAGTTACCTATATCTAACCATTTGCCTTGCTAGAGCACAATTACAACTAGTATTATAGAGACGATAATGCAATTAAAATGACAGCTGATCTACTATTAATGCAAAAAACATGATCCCTGTCTAGATAACGTCCATCAATGTTCTGCATCCCCCCGAAATACAAGCCGAACACTCAGAAATTAATTATCCCCATCATAACGTTCACAGACTGAAAACAGTCCCATCATGTTACCGAAAAACGTGAACGACAGTCTTTAGATTTTTAATTAATGAAAGGGTTTAATCATCCTTTAGAAATCGGGGTATCGACTCTCTTTTCAGAGGGTGAAATTTGATTACGAGCGAGAATTTTCAGATAGGAGCAGTGCGGAATTTATAAAATCAATAGACGACAAAAATTAAACAGTGGTTGGGGTTGGCTTCCGTTTCCTAATTAAAGATCAACACAATTATTTAAAAAAATGGCACTTTGTAATCTGTTTTTTATATTTACCGGTTTTTCTTATATGATCTTGTTTTGTGAAAATTAAGCCACATGATAAAATGACCTTTCTCCGATTTATTTTCTTCAGAATTTCATCTTATAATGTGGTTCTATATGACATTCTACAGCATAAAGAGTAATAAAAATTATGAAAAAGAACCTGCAAAGTGCTGTCTAATAATTTTTGTCTGTCTAAAAGGTTTACTGGTCACATACTTTGTAGGTCAAAATAAGCCAAATGTACTAGTTTGAGTTTATTTATTATTAAGTATAGATAGGCAACACACCCAAGCAACTTCTATAGTAGATCCTAGACCCTCACAGAATTATTAATGATGCTATTAGAAGATCCCAAATGAGTACTTGCCGGTGTGCAGGAAAATTAAAAATAATTTCGGTTTCCAATATTTAACGACCATTAAAATCGTGAAAATTTAAGCACATTTTTTTTATGAACATATGAAGGTTTTAATGCTCTGTAAATTATAGATTTTGTACAACATATTTCAATTGTAAATTGGTGTCTATAGTTTGTGTTAAACTTTAAATCTAAATCTGAAATAAACGATGTGAACATTTTTATTTCAAATTTTGACTGATACCCCGGAAAGAGAAAATATAAAAAACATTATTAAGAATGTCCCCTTCAGTAGGCATGTGAGTGCCTAGGACTTGAACTTGATAAAGCTCGATGATAATTTACTTACTACACACAATTAATCTCAAATCTGAAAGGATCGATTTTAAAAAGAGGAAATGCGAAAACGAAAGCTCAGCAATTTTCAATGCTTCGTTTATCTTGAAATTAATTTAGGTTCTACGTTTGAAAAGAAACATAAAAGCTGATGTTGCGAAATGTTTGCATTACTCGATCTATGCACCTAATATGTTGTTAATATTGAAAACAGTATATTATACAGTCCATTAGTTCCAAGTATCTTAGCCAGATTCTAATTATCAGTTTAAAAGATAGGAAATTGTAAATCTAATCAAAGAAGTATATATGTAATATAGGTATATAAAATTATAGTATAAAAATTTAAATCTAACTACTCCTCTAGAAATGCTACTACTTTCTGAAACGTGTTTCAAATTTAATCAAGCATTGGTATTTTCAATTCACAAATCAAATAGATGGTTTACAATACCTGAAAAGTCTTATTATTTTATTTAGTCGCTTTGCAGCCACGAAATACAAAAGGTGCGGTAAAATTTTCGCCTGTTGTACGCTATTGTTTTTTGTATGCTTCTGAATTGCCGTTCTTGTACAAATAAATAAAACCCATTATTTCACTTCTTTTTAAAAAATCCCAACCGGTACCGTGAACTATTCTAACGAGACATTTAGTACGGATATTGGGTAAATCTAATAGATATTTTTTCCAATTACCAATTTTTCAGTATAGTAAGAATTAAATGTGGATGTGTTATTTTTGATGATCAAACAATTTCATGTACATTAGTTCACATTTTTAAACTGAAAACTCATTCAAACACAATCAGAAAATTATGTGTAGTAAGCAAATATGTCTAACTGTAGCTGAATTATCGGCTGTTAGCACAAATGATAAATTATTTTACGAACATACATTGTCTAGACCTTTGTTTGGACGTTTAAGTCTAAAGTTAAAATCGAATTTAAATGTTTTGTTGTTAGTTTTTTTTTCATCGTAGCTATTGTACATTTCTTAGTTTACTACTAAAACACTGAGACGTCTAACTCATTTGTTGTTAATTATTTTCGTGGCCTTCGAGAAAATAATATACCGTATCGATACAGAAAAGCCAAGAGTAAGAATTAATAATGAGTTCCAGTTCTGAAGTTCAGAAAATATTCATATTATACTGTAATTTTCTGGGTACTCACTACATTATTACTGTTTCCTGTTCTTGGGATCTGCCACTTTCTGTTTTCGTTTCGTAGTCAATTAAGTCAATTTAATGTGCGGGCGATTGTCACGACACTAGACAATCAAACTCACTTTTCCGGCCTGAATAATAAATCTGAAAAGCATGATAAAAATGCTAGTTCATATTGCTCCTTGTGATTAGTGAACTGCATTTCAATAATTGGATTCCTCTGGACTTGAATTGGACGTAGAAACGAGACTCTTGCCAGTCAGACCAATAACGTTTTCCATTAATGTTTCTTATTGAAGCGATCCATTTGATTTGTTTCTCCACTTTAACAATGTTAGTATAATATAGATGATTTTATTTACTTATACTACTTATACAACTTATAAACTAAGTAGACATTGATTTTAAGCAATGCTTTAATGTTGCATTTTTAAATTCGGTTTTTTATATGATTTTGTACTCAATGGCTAACAAAATATAATACAAAATATTCCAAACTAAAACTCTAAACAGTTTTCTAAAACGGAAATGATTTTATTAAATAATTAATAAGATTCTCATCTAATTTGTATGAAATTTCTATTAACCTTTGCCGATATAGAAACAAGCTTTCCAAAGTTCCTTGCGACAAATATTTGTAAGATCAGCCTTACTTTTTGTTATTCTACATCAGATGTTTTATTCCTGTAAACTAATTGAACATTTAATTAAAAAGTAAACTATAACAATAGTGATATACTGCATCTTTATTTAATGTCTCGGAGACAACAGAGACGCATGATGAGCATAAGAGTTGGGCCTGCCTCCCGTACATACATGGAGTCACGGACAGGATCGGCAAGATACTGGAGAAACACCAAGTAAAAACCATTTTCAAACCAA